CAGTCCTTCCCAACATTCTATCTTCCCAACAGCCCCAGGCTGGTCTGGATTCACAGGCAGGGAATCTGGCTCCTGACAGGATGGAGAATGGCTTTTGGAGACAGGAACCTAAGTGGAATTATAGGCAGCTACATTTTTCAGACTAACTACCATGTAGATACTTAGGTAAGTCATATTCTCCCGTGTACCATTTTAGCAGCATCTCTTTAGTGTTTGCATGTTTATATAAAATTCAAAATATTTTATGACTTGGGTCCATATTTCCTCTTGATATAGGTGATGTGATGAAACAAATATTCTGGCTTTTTTTTTCTTATAGTCCGTGGATAAGTTTTAAACATACAGAAACAAACAGTAAAACTCCACCATAGTAAATACATACCTAAAACTCAACTTTGTAAATCCTGCTGTTGTATTATTGTGAAGTTAATTAAAAATAATGTTTTTATCAGTAGGTGGTATTGTCATAAAATTAAAGATGAGATTTCTGCTGTGCACAATTAACCTTACATTGAATAGAGAAAGTCCCAAGGGATTCCAGGACATCTGCTTACATATGCATATGCGCTCAAGTGTGCACACACACACACACACACACATACATATCCTTTGAAGATTTTATTCCACCTGTCTGAGAAGGGAGTTAAGTGGGATGTTTAAGTGGGCTGATGACAGTAGCCAAATGCCAATCATGTTATAGCCAAATTTACATTATCATGTTACATATTATTTTTTAAATATATTTCTCTCTTTAGATTTAGTGTTATTTCAGCAAGTATGCATCAAAATCCCCTGGGGACAGACCCAGAGGTAATGGAGTGGTGGGAGAGGTGTGCTTGGAAAGAGCTTTCAGATTAACCAAGCTACCTGGCTGATAGGACAGAGCGGTGCAGAGAGCCTGATTGGAAGTGAGTCCCAAGAGACCAGTACTTTCTGGCCAGGAAGACACCTGGGTGTGGCAGAGCATCCCAGACAAAGGAAATACAAACAGTGGTACTTTGGCAGGAAATGTGCCTATCTGGAGTGGAATTGAGCCAGTGGGTTAGGTTTATTGCAGCTGATACAGAAGTTAGGTGAGCAGTAAGGTATGGCTAGCCTCCCAGGCCAATCAAGGATCCAAGCAGGGGAGGGCCGTGGCCAGCTTTGTGTTTTGAGATTATCCCTCCATTGGCAGAGTGGATGAGGGAGCAGGTGGCTAGAAGGCCACCGGGAGTGTTGTTGCCAAGATTCAGAACAGGTGACATGACCTTGAACAGGAGTATGGCATCAAGATGAACGCATATGTCATCATTACATGCAAACTATTTTCCAAGATTATGTATATTCTAAATAAGATCAGGCGATAGGCATAGGAAATTTACCCATTCTTCTGGCATTTTTAACCTCAGCATAATTATAATTTTAATTTATATTATAAGCATATTAGTCACTTCCCTCATTGCTGAAACACCCACAATTTAAAGGAGGAGTTTATTTTGGCTTATATTTCAGTCCATAGTCTAAAGGTTCCAAAGTGGGATGGCGTGGCAGAAGAGAGCTGCTCACAACAGGGCAGACAGGAAGTAGGGAGAATAAAAGGAATAGCCAGGTAAGGAGATACAGCTTTCCTTATCATGAGCACATTGACCCACGGCTTCTGACCAGACACTACCTCTGAAAAGCAAATGATTTATAAACCTTCATAATCTAATAACTTTCCAAAGTTCCCACTTCCAAGCACATGAAGCTTTGGGGGACATTTAGATCTAAACCATAACATTCTACCCCTGGCCCCCAAGAGATTCATGCTCATCTCTTTATGTGAAATGCATTTAGTCCATCTCTAAAAGTTACCAGAGTCTTAACAATTTTAGCATTGCTGAAGAGTTCAAATCAAAAATCTCTCAGAATTAAGGCAAACTCTTAGCTGTGAGCCCCTGTGAAAATCAAAAAGAATGTTAAACACTGCTGACATACAAAGGCACAGGGAAGGAATAAGGGGGTAGAAACCAATGGAACCAAAGCAAGACCAAAACCTAGCAGAAAAACATTAAATCCTACAACTATAAGTCCAATATCCCAGGGTAAGCTGCAGTAAGATGTAAACTCCAAAGGGTATAGATAGCCCTGTCCCTATGGCATTGGTGGTGTTTACAGCTCTTACGGCTTCTCTCATGGGCTGCCTCTCCTCACTTCTTGAAGCTTTCAAGTATTCTGTGTTCTTGGCTTCTCCAATTTCTGGAGTCTCCACTGCACTTTGGGCTTCACTCTCACAGCTTCACATGCTGCCCTTTATAGTCTCATTGCCTGGCCTCCCAGGCCTTTTTCTGAAATTTGGGTAGAAGCCTCTCTAACCACATAACTCTTGCATTCCACATGTCTATAAAACCAGGACCACATAGATGACACCAAGGTCTGTCACCAAGCAGTAGCCAAGCTGCCTTGAATTGCAGCTGCAGAGGCCTCTGAGTGTCTGCATGGGTAAGCACTGCTTCTGAATCCCAGGGAACTAATTCTCTAGGTGGCCCCAGAGTTCCATGAGGCTCTCTTCTCAAAGCAAAGTCTTACACCCTTACACCCTTGAACCTACAAAAGGAGAGTCTTGCTGATTCCTGACATGCCCTCAAGCCATTTTTCCTGCCATCTTGATCCAAAGTACTTGGCTTCTTTTTAATGCCAATCTTTTCAGCTATGTTCTTCTGGGTGTTTTCTTCCTGGAAAAACTGAAAACTTTTGAAATGAATTCTTTGCTTCTGTTTCTGACAGTGGGTCTCACTAAAAGCAGCAAGCTCTAAATGTTCTATAAATAGAACATTGGTCTGCCTTGAAATTTTCTCTGCCAGATTAATTAGTCTGCTGCCCTAAATCTCTGTCTCCTGCAAAGTCTTAGAACATGAACAAAATGCAGACAGATTTTCTGCAAAACCATAGCATACATGGCCTGGCATCCAACTGCCAATATAATCCTTGTTCCCATCTCAAAGCTCCTGAGCTTGGCCTTTTCCATCTACTTCTCCACCACCCCCGTACACGGAATCAAACTCAGGCCCTTGCACTTGCCAGGCAGGAGCCTCCTCTGCATTTTTATCAGCTTTCTGGTCTTCTGAACACCACCAACAATCTTTCATTGAGCTCAATTTACAGCATTCTTGGATTTGTTTAGCTACATCTCCAAAACTTCCCTAAGCCAATTCCAAAGGCTTCTGAACCACATGACCAGGCAGCATCTCAGCAACAACATTGCTTCTCTGGTACCAAAATCTGTCTTAGACACTTCCCTTATTTCTGGGATAAAATACTCAGCAATTTAAAGGAGGAGGGATTTATTTTGGCTCAGGTTTCCATCCAGTCAGCTGGCTCCAAGGCAAGATGGCATGGCAGAGAAGAGCTGCTCATAGTATGTTGGACAGAAAGCAGAGAAAGAGTAAAAAAGAGGACTTAGGAAGGGAGATTTAACCTTCCTAGTCACACCCACAATGACCTACCACACCTCACCTCCTTAAAAGAAAATCAGCTATGATCCCCCCAAATTCATTTGCCTTCCAAAGATCCCACCTCTGAACACATGAGGCTTTGGGAGATATCTAGATCTAAACCATAACAATAAGCAAGAAAAAAAATTTTTTTTTCTTTTTAAATTTTCCTTTAAGCATAGTTAAAGAGTTTGGTTCCTTGGGTCATTCTTCTCACCATATGCACAGTCTAGGTCCAACATTGTAGTCTAAGATCCTTTATAGATTACATGGCTAAATTCTATATAGTATTTAGTTGCCACATTGACATAATTTTTATAAGGTTGCTTTTTTTGTTACTGTCATAATCCACTCAACTCTTATAAATGTCTTCATCTGCTTTCCATATGCCATAGCTTCTGCACTGATATTTTCACCTGTTGTGTTACATGTCCTTTCAGTTTTAAAATACTCTTCCCTCTCCTCCCCAACCCCAGGAAGAAGCTTGTCTGGAAACTGACTTAGGGGATAGCTTCTCTTCTCTTACCTCTGTTTGGATTTCATTAATTATATCCACAAAAAATAAATCAAAGAAGGGCCTCTGGGATCATCTGGCTTTGAGAGAAATGATAAGCATGGGTTGGCAAATAGGTTAAGGTAAATTATTAATAAAACACCACTGTGACACAGTACAGAGATGAAAGGTTGATATCATCACTGTGCTATATTATATTACTCTACTTTATGTGGCACACACATCCTGGCCTACTGTCAAGCCTGGGCGAAAAGCCATGGGCAAGAAACCAGTAGCAGTTTCAGTAAATAGGATCACCTTGTACTGTGCTTGTGAACCATGGTCACTTAATTATAACCTGGAACACCTTTTCCCAGTAATTAACTGCTTTGTGTTTTTTTAATTTCCTACTCAGGCCAAGCATCACTTGTATTTTCACAAAGGATGGATGTAGGGGAGGCATTGTCCTTGCAGAGGCAAACAAGCCTTGATCCTATATGAACACAACAAATATTTCCATTGCTCTGCCCTTCTAGCACATCCTGTGGGACACACATTGGTGCTCCCATGCACAAACCCAAATTACTTACAGGCTCTTGGATGAGTTTGCAACCATTCTGAGTATCACTGAGAGCTTGAGGTTCCAGTAATGGAGCAATGGTGACAGTTACAGCCCATCTTGCCAAGGGTAGGGTAAGAAGTGAGCACTGTGTTTGATAATCATCAGACTAACCTTGTCAGGTTAAAATGTGTTCAAAATTATCACTTGCATTTTTTTTATTCTTATGGAAATATCCCTGTTGAATTACTTAACACCTTAAATTTAAAATCTCTATGTAAGTATGCCCTGGTTGATTTCTGAAGCCAATCTGATGTAGGCAGCATGTGTTAATAAATGGGGAAGGGGGTGAATCATGGCATGAATGGAAGGTAATAAAAAAAAACTTTATGTTTGTGCTTAGTGTACAGAATGTGTCAGGAAAACAGCTTAAATAAAGTGAAAGCTTTGTCCAAGAACGTGGAGAAAATTGACCTCCCCTCTCCTTCTTTCTCAGATACATTCCACCATTGATCTGGGGGAAAAGTGGACATATCCAGACAGCCTTGTATGGGAAGATGGGAAGGGTGAGGTCGCCACACCCTTATGGCCACCGGAAGTTCATCACCATGTCTGATGGAGCCACATCAACATTTGACCTCTTTGAGCCCTTGGCTGAGCACTGTGTTGGAGGTGAGCTAGTTTAGGTTGCAGGAATCCATCTCACAGAGGAACAATAGCAAGTGGGAAACCTGGTGCAAATGCTTATGCTACCTTCTGTCCAATTAGCCAGGAGTCTGCTGGAGATTTATCAATTAGGAGCAGCTTACAAGGATTGGCTCCAACATGTGCTTGCCAGTCCCAATCAAAGCTCTGCAGAAATCAATGCAGAATAGTTTTCAAATCCTCTTGTGAAATACTGGAAATAGTGTTACAGCCAGAGGTGAGCTTGGAGCCCAGCCCCACCAGGACCAGGCCTCTGAGTCAATGTCAGTACCAGAGGCTGGACTGTTCTAAGTACTTTATATCTACTGTTATCCCCTCAGAACCCTGTGAGGTCAGCGCTTTACCATCCCCACTGAATGATGAGGAAACCGGCTTGGAGAAGCAATGTAGCCTGGCTTTGTGGAATAACATTACATAAGGCTCTTAGATGCCTTATGCATAGGTTTCCTTGGACAGAGAGACACATTAAGGTCATATTTATTGTAGGGGAGAAACAACTCTAGTTTCCATTGCTGTTGGAATTGGCATTGTTCTTTTTTTTTTATAACCGGGGATTAAACTCGGGACCTGGCACTTGCAAGGCAGACAGCAGAACCACTGAGCTAAATCACCATCCCTGGGATTGGCATTATTCTATCCAGTCTATACAGTAAACACTACTGACAAAATGCTTCATATGAGGATTTTTGAGGAAGAGTAGTAAGGTACCAGCATTCTTTTGCATGCTGTTCTTACCAGAAGAGAACATTTTCAGAAGCAGTTTTGTTTTTGTTTTTGTTTTTTTAATCTGAAGTGTGGTAATTATTTGTGAGTAAATTCCAGTAAAGGTATTACAACTTTCAGTTATTTAAAGTAGCTGGAGCTGCTGAGTAACTGCTAACAAAAGTCTGTGTTCGCTCTGCCTGGAAGGCTCATCTCCAGATCTTACATGGCTATCTACTCCTTGTCATTCAGCTTAGATTTCACCTCCTCAGAGTCCCGACTCCCCTGACAGGCATTGCCTTCCTAATAGACTCATTGTACCTCTGCTTTAGTCCCTCCCTGTTCCTGCAGCTCTGAAAAGTCATGTGTGCAGTTGTGTGCCATCTCCCCACTGGAATGCAGGGTCCTGGACACACTTGTGGACAGCCTGGGGACAAGGACAGGACAAGAGCTCACATTCTGTTTATAAACCTCACAGCTGCTCTTCAAACATTTATTTCTCCACCACACCTAGTTCAGTGTTTCCTTTCTCTTGTTTATGAGGCTTTTACTTCTTCTACTGTGGAAGTATGAAATTTAGCCTCACCAGTCTGCTCTTCTTATAGTAGGAGCAAATGGGGAGTTGAAAGGTTCTTAGTTATATTTGCCTATGTCTTTCTGTCACTCCTGTCCCAGAAAGGACTGATGAAGGTGATTCTGGGGAAGGCAGTATCTATCCCTCTAAAATGCTCCAAGCAGAAAAGCCCTTTTTCCACATATCATTAAAAGCCTAAATATCTTCAAAAACATAACTTTAAAGACTGCTGAATAGTGTACAGTGTGGTGATAACTATAATTTAAAATTTTTCTATTGTTGAGCATTTAGCTTATTTATGATATTTTGTCACTATAAATAATTCTATACTAAGCAGTCTTAAAGATAAAATTTTAGCAAGATTCCAAGAATCTAAATATTAGATCAGTGTTTATAAAATGTTTAGGACTCTTCATGCATCTTATAGAATTGTTTATTAAATTATATTTTTTACCAACATTAAGAATTTTTCAATTGTTTTATCTTAATCTAAAGGAAAATTATGATCAGATTTAATAAAATAGTTTTAAAGAAAATGTGTTCATGTCTTCAGATAGATAATTTATGCTCAGGATAGAAAATTCAAAAAGTACTAAAGACCTACAGTAAAAAGAGTCACTCTTCATCTCTCCTCCCATAGCTCTCTCCAGTAGAACCCACTGCTAAGGTTCTTACTTATGATTGTAGAGCTGGCAGGTGCATTGATAAGCATACATACCTTTTTTTTTCTCTGCATAAATGGCAGTATACTCTAACTTTTTCTGCACCTAGCATTTTTTACTTAATACATATTACAGAGCTTCCCATCTGGGATCATGTAAAAATCTCATTATTTTTAAATATTTTGTCCCTTGGATATGCAGTGATTTATCCAACCTGACCCTATTTCTGGATATTTAGACTGTGTCCAACCTTTTGCCATTAAAAGCCTATTATATATATATGTATATTGTTTTATATATATATAGATAAATCTATAGAACAAATGTCTGAAAATAAAATCACTGAGTCAAAGGGGTCTGGTTTTCCACTATTCATTTGTTCATTTGGAACTTCACACAGGAGTGATATTCAGACACTTGTGTAGCAGTTTTATATCTGTTGGATCTAATTTTAAAAATTGAGGTTTATGTGTTTTTATTTCATTTTTCTAGTAATTAATATCTAGTATATTTTTCAAAAGTATAAGTCCATGATGGATTGGAAGTTTTAAAAATAAACCCTTCATAAATAGTTAGGGAAGCACTAAAATAGACAGCTCCAGCTAAAAGGGAAAGACATCTTTTCCAGTGAATTGAATGAAAAGAGTTACATTAAATTCCCTTCTCCTAGCTGGGTGTGGTGGTGCATGCTTATAATCCCAGCACTTGGGAGGCTGAGGCAAAAGAACCACCATGAGTTCAGGGCCAGCCTGGGCTACATAGTGAGTTCAAGACCAACCCAAACTACCTAGCGAGACCCTGTCTCCAAAAAACCCAAAAATAAAGAAGACACCAGGAGATACTGGTCTATTTATCATATCATGGTAGTCAGCTATGTGAGGATCTCTTTCTCTATCCTACAGATGATGTCACCATGGTCATCTGCCCTGGAATTGCCAACCACAGCGAGAAGCAGTACATCCGCACCTTCGTTGACTATGCACAGAAAAATGGCTATCGGTGTGCTGTGCTGAACCACCTGGGCGCCCTGCCCAACATTGAGCTGACCTCACCACGCATGTTCACCTACGGTAAACACGGTCCACAGCCCATAGAGGTTCCTGTTTTCTCTCCTCACTTTAATGTGTTGCTACTTCTGTTTCTGCCTTCTTTTTCTTTTTAGTTTATAATTTCTTCCTCTCTGCAAGAGATGGGGCACCCATTTAATAGCAGTACTGGGCATCTCTGATGCCACGCCTTACATGCCTTACTCTGGGGTGGCCACTGCACCACCCCTGCTGAAAGAGGCAGTTGCTGCACCTCACAGAGAAAAGTCTTGCCCACAGTCCCCTGGCTGGTGAGTGCCAGAGTGGGTTGGGAGCCAGGTAGATTGGGTAGCAGAATTTATGCCCTCAGGCACTCCTCAGACTCTTGTGACTGGCAGGTGTGAGGCAGCGTGTGAGTGTCAGTGGAACATCAGCAACTCCCTGGACTTTCAGGTTCCTAGAGGACAGAAATCGGCTCTCATGGTTAGGTGAATGCTTCTTAACTCAGTGGAAGTCTTCTGTTAGCTAAGAGTCTGACTTCTGGATCGTTTGCCCTTGATGCTTGTTTAGCTCTCCCTTCTGATTATATATCTACACATAAAGAATAATCACATAGAATTATGCATCTATGCACAAACATTTGGGATGTTTATGACCAAATAAATTGTGTTTTAATGGAAACTACAAAAATTATGTCTATAATCTTGCCAAAACTAATTTTCTATTTCTTTATCTTCCCATTGTCTTAGTTTACGTGTATGTGTAGATTTTCATCCTAGTGCAGGGGCCATGCTAATCTTCTCTGTATCATTCCAATTTTAGTATATGTGCTGCCAAGGCAAGCACTGTATGTAGTTTTTCTTTAGTTGCAGTCATGCCACACACGCACACACACACGCACATGCACACATATATATACTGACTTACTTTAATAACTTTATAGTCACCAACATAAAGATACATAGTCATTATATTTAATCATATGGACAGCCACATTACTGTTATCACTCTGTTATAGTTTATTGAACCATTCCTCTTTGGAGGGTATGTAGGTTATTTAAAGTTTTCCAGCATTTTAAACAATGATGTTATAAATATCATGCACATAAGAATTTTTTCCTCTCTGTAATGACTTCTTTAGAGTAAATTTCCAGAGATGACTTTTAAGATTGTCTCTCCGCAAGGTCATTCCAACTGACACTGTCACTGGTAACACATAAGGGCACTGTCTCCCGCAGGGCAGGTGTGGAAAGGTTCAGGATAGGGAAGCATGAACACTCACAGCTGCTTCGTGCCAGGCACAGGGTTGGGCAAAGGGTTGACCATTCTTTCCTCTGTGCTTACTCTCGTACCTGCAGACACCCATTTACACTGGCTCTGTTCAATATCCAGCTTGCAGATGACACAGATGAGTATGTGGGAGAAAGAACTGGATCCAAAGGGTAGAAATAGGTGAATTCTAACACAATGGAAATGAGTATAAGATCTTGTAGGTAGACATAAAGCTCCATCTATACAAGCAGAGGATGGGAGGTGTAGCCTGGCCACAGGGCCAGGCAGAGGCTTGGGAGTGCTGTCTAGCAGCGAGCCTGCCAACAGCACAAGATAAGAAATGCCAGCGAGGGCACTGATGTGTGCCAGTCACAGTGCCAAGGTCTCCACAGACATAAACCCCATTACCTCACAGTGGCCAGGAGATAATCACTTCTGCTGAAAATCTCAGGCAGAGACCAAGTTTGAGCAAGGGCATCGCACCACTTAAGTTGGAAAGCTCAGATGGGGGCCCTCCAGCTTCACTGGCCTCCAGAACCCTCTTGGAACTGGTAGCAGAGCTATGCCTGAGGGGTTCAGGTCCTGTGGCCCCCAGGGTACTGTGGGTGGTAAAGCAGAAGGCTATATGGAAGGCATTACAGAGTCCAGGGGTCTGGAAGCAGAAGGAGCAAGAAAAGCAGGCTCTGTGTGGGGTGCGTTTTCAAAGAGTAAGAGACCAGCTCTGTACCAGAGCCCTGGCCTGCCCGAGACTGGCTGTGTGGCCTGGAGCAGTTTGCTCAAGTTCCCAATTCTCCAGCTACGGTAATGAGGACTACAATTAGGTGTGTGTCACAAAGGTCCTGGTGAACAGTTGAGTCACAGTATTAGGTTTGTTCTTAAATACTTAGAAGCTGTTAATGTTCGTGAGAGGCTAGCAATGCTCTGTGTGACCCAGATAATTGAGTTCTGCAGAGGGAGACAGGGCTATCAACAGATAATTCCAGAGCGGTGTGAAAGAGTAGAAAGAGAGGGGTAGGTGGGAGTCACACTAGGTCCCCACTGTTGAGCTGGTGAACAGATTGGCTCACAAGGAATTGGTGCTCCTGGACAGAGCAGCAGGCTCTGGGAGGACAAGCTGAACAGAAAAGCATTCCTGTCAAGAGCATGCATAGGGTAAGCCAGGCCTGATGGTGCCTACCTGTAATGCCAGTACTCGGGGAGGCTGAGGCAGGAGGATGGCAAGTTCAAGCCCAGCCCAGGCATTTTAGTGACTTAGCAAGAGCCTGTCCCAAAATAAAAATAAAAATTTAAAAGGGCTGGAGATATAGCCCAGTGCAAAGGCCCAGGGTTCAATCTCAGTATCACTAAAATCAATAACAACAATAATGATAGTATGGACCAGTATGTTAAATCTAAGCACAAAAAAATCAATGGGGAGGAGGTAGGCCCATCTAGGAAGAGCTTTAGCCCCCCAGTATTAAAAAGTAATTTTTCTTATCTCCCTTATTTGTGTTTCTTGTTACATATTTGTTTCCTTGGAATTTCAGAAGTAAATTCCTATAGTTTGTTATACTGTAGTGATTTTAAAGAAAGACAGGTGACCTGGACAAGATGGGTGATTTTTCTAGCCGTGCTACTTAGCTTTTTATATACTGGTGCATCTTTTAACTGTTGAAGTGCATCTTTTAATCTTTAGGGGATAAGGTCAGCCAGATGTAACCCTGAAGAGTTAGAAAATTTAGAATTCAGACACTTTAATGAGATCTAAAATGTAAAACATCCGTGGTAGCTCAGAAGCCACTAATGAGAGAAAGCACTAGTGTTTCCTTAGGTGCTATTGATATGTGTTATGTTGACTTAAAATGACCTGTTTTAATAAATAGTTCTCTGGACAGGTGAATAAGGATCAGACTCCCTTAAACAAGATGGTCTCGTATGTTAAAGCAAAGCCTGGGTTTGTAGCTTTTGCCTGGTAAACTGAGGCAGCTCAAGGTAACATCATAGAACAGAAAAACTTTTATCACAGTTAATAGGTATTAAATTCCTTAGTGTGTTAGCTGCATATTATAGACTTTTTAATATAAGAACTAATGTACATATGGACCAGGGATTTAGCTCAGTGATTCTGCCACCTGCCTCGCAATTGCAAGGTCCCAAGCTGGATCCCCAGTACCAAAAAAAAAAGACAAATGTACATAACTGTGAAGGTTTATTTCTATGTTCAATATCATTAATTCCTATTTATTTATTTATTTATTGTGGTACTGGGTATTGAATCCAAGGCCTTACAATAAGCAGCCCCTTTTTTATTTTTTTACCTTGAGACAGGATTTGATAAATCACTAAGTTGCCTAGGTTGGGCTTGACTTTGGCCTCCCAGAGGTACAGGATTACAGACCTGGCCCACCACATCTGGCTCATTGTTAACTTTTAATTATTGTTGCTTTGTGATAAGGTCTACTTGCTTCTTCAGAATGTTCTCTTATCTCCCTGCCTTTTTCTTTCAGTTGAATTATACGATTATTCAGTCAAGTTCTGCATTGAATTTCTGTATCAGACAGGAAAGAGTAGATTATGTTATAGAAAGAACTCCTAAAACCCAGTGGTTTAAAAACAGATTTTTTTTCTGCCTCCCTCTCCACATCCATCATGGCATAGCTGGGAGTTCTGGGTCCCCGTCATTGCCTCCTCACATGAGGAACCAGGCTCCAGGAGCAGACACCAGCTGGACATTGCCAGCCTCTCAGAGCATGGAAAAAGACTGGCTCTTGAAGCTTCTGCCCAGAAATGATAGCCGCAATTTATACCTTCCATAGGGTAGAGATCCCAGGAAGGGAAAGTAGGTATTGGCCAACTCTAGAACAGTTAATCCCAATTTTAAAGTAAGGGTTTTAATTTATAAATTAACTTGGAGAGTACTTTTCTCTTCTGGGGACATGGCATCTTCTTCCACGTCTCCATAAAGAACTTCTAGTTCTCCTTGTGTAGGTCAGTGAGTCCATACTGACCCAACAGTGCTCAGAGCCCAGCTCATGGGGAACCTGTAGTATAACCAAGGTTTTCAAAGCCGTGGACATAGGTCTTATCCTATGTTTCCTCATTAGTTTTGTTTTGATTTTTTGTTTCCACTTTTTATTATAGAAAATTTCAAACTATGCAGAAAGTAGGAAAAATAGTAGAATAAACCAGAATAAATCCTAACATGCCATCACTCTACTTCAGTAATTATTCAGCTTATGGCCACTCTTACTTCTTCTGTAAACCTCCCCCTTCCATGTCCCCTCTCACAGATTATTTTGAAGCAAGTCCCAATCAGCCTATCATCCCCTGTGACTATCTCAGTGTGTATCACTGTGACACACAGACTCTTTATAAACTGTTTTAATTTATTTAGGACAAAACAAAATGCCGCAATCTGGGGGGCTTACACAACAGAAATGCATTTTCTCACATTTATGGAGTTAGGAGTCTAAGATCAAGATATTGGCCGGTTTGGTTTCTTCCCAGCCCTCTCCCCTTGACTTGTAGATAGCCACTGTGTTAGTTTGTTCAGAATGTGGTCCTGTCCCTCTGTGTCTCTGCATCCTAACCACTACTTAAAGGAAACCAACTATATTGGATTGGAGCCTACCCTGACCACCCCATTTTAACTTAATTACATCTTTAAAAGCCCTGTTTCCAGGTACAGTGACAGTCTGAGGGGTTTGGACTTCATATGAATCTTGAGGGCCGCTGTTCAGTCTGTAACCTAAACATAAGCACCATAGTTATCATCACAATTAAAATAATACTTCTCAGTAGCTGTTCAGTTCCCACGTTTATTTACTTTTCAATTGTAGCTTGTTCAATCTAGGATCCAAGTCAGGTCCAAATGCTGCAGTTGGCTGATAGGTTTCTTAGGCCTCTTAAGTTTCCTTCCCTCGCCTTTATCAGGCCCCCCACCAAGTCAGCCTCCTCCATGGAGGGTAACTGGAAGGGCCTTGATGGAACTCTGGATCCCAGGACATGCTAGAGCCCACGAGTCAGGCCACCTGGTCCTATCCTGAGTTCTGGCCATGGCAAGCACCAAACTCCAGAGAGACTCCAGGGCCTGCTGGTCTCAGGTCTGCCTAAGACCTGTTTCTTCAGCCATATGTGGCTTTCACTTGGCTTCCCTCTGTCATTTGAGCCTCAATCAAGATGTCACTTTCTCAGAGAGCCCTTCTCTCGCTCTTTCCCATAGAATGTGGCCTTACTGCACCCCCAAGTCATTCCCTGCCTAATCCCTGCATTGATGTCCTTCAAGTCACTTAAGATTTGAAGGTATGCAATTGTTTTCATAATATTTGTTTTTTATCTTCCACCTAATTCTCCATTCCCATTTACTCCATGAGAGCAGGTGGTCTTCCTGCGCCCTCCTGTGTCTCCCCAGTGCCCAGAATCCAGCTCAGCCCACAGAAATCCTCTCTGTGTCAGAGACTACCTACTGCTGCCCAAATGAAGCCCCAGGTGATAGCTGTGAAAGGGTGGTGTGTGCTCGAAAGGTAACACTTTACAAACGAGCATATCTCAAGCAGATGTGCCTGATGGTCTCATGAGTCTTTCCTTTGCAAAAA